CCCGCCTCCCCTCCCCTGCTGCTGTGGGTGAGTGAGATCCCCGCCTCCCCTCCCCCGCTGCTTACCAGTGACACCCCCCGCCTTCCCTCTGGGAAGCCTGCCTGGCTCTCCCCATCAGAGTCAGGTGCCATCAGCACCCCCCTCGCTTCCAGCTTCCTGTGCCCTGGCTTTTACGTGCGCCTGGCTTAGTGCTAGTGGGAGGGAAAGCCGTGGGCTTGTGTTAAGTGATCTCGCGCTGCCTCCTGCTGCTGCCGCGTGTTCCTGCTCCTGCTGCAAAAGGAGCGTCCCTCTCCCCAGACTTCCATGGGGCGCTCGGCCTAGTACTGGTGACTGACCGTGTAGTCCTGCAGCCCAGGGCTCTGGCTCAGCTTACTCCTCGCCCGCACTGCCCTCATCCGTGGTCTCAGATCTTTTTCACTCATGTGTAGAATAAATGTTGTTCTGTGCACTGAGGCCTGTGTGGGTGTGCACCACCAGTGGACACATGGTGCTGGGTGTGGGCACCCTGCTAATCAGCTGGGCAGCGTCAGAGTCTCCCTGGGTGGCCTACAGGAAGCACTTGGCCCCACCCCATCCCACATGAGCCGCAGAGCACCCCTCCCCCAGCGCTGTCACTGCCGGAGTCCCAGCTGCTGCGGAGGGGGAAATCCAGCCAGGACTGAGGCTGGAGCAGGTTGGGGGCCTGCAGCTGGTAAGCAAAGGGTTAGTGCAGCTGCATGTTCCGGGGGGCTGGGAGCGCTGCGCCTTTCCCTGACTCTGCTCTGGCTGCCGGTGGTGCCGCCGGGCCCCCCCCCCGAGTGAAGCAAACCCTGACGCGTTACAAGGTGCTGGCCACGGCTCCGGGCTGCGCCCATGACAGGTGGGAGAAGGGCCCTGGGTCTGCCTCTGGCTCAGCTCTCCCTGACAACCCTGCCAGAGGGCCCCGGGGTGGAGAAGGGATGAGCTAGGGGGTCTTCCGAGGTCCTTGTGGGCAGGGGGCCCCAGGCAGAAGGATGGGAGCAGAGGGAAGACGAAGGCCCCGGGCTAACCTGTCCTCTCCTCACCTCAGCATTTCCCAGCCAGCTCCTGGTGCACCTGACGCTGCTGCTGTGCCCTGCCTTGGGCGACCACGTGTACTCTGCCCGCGTGGGCACGGTGCTGGGGGAGCCCTTCCTGCTGCCTGCGGGGGGCGCTCTGCCTCGCACCCAGGTATGCCCGAGCCCTGTACAAAGCCAGGCAGACCTCTCGCCCTGCTCAGCCCCGAGGGCGCCAACACGGGGTGCCACGCTGCCCGAGACCTTGGGGACCCGCCCTGTGTCCAGAGCAGAGGGAGCGGAGGGCCGGCCTCCACCCCACTGCCAGACACGCTGCCTCCACCCAGTGGCCAAGCCCGGACGCCTGCGCACGTCCTGGGGTGTCCCGCTGGCAGGGTCCCTGCCCGGGGCACAGTGCCCCGCCGGGGATCACACGAAGGGCCCTCCTCACGCCTTGGAGTGGTGCCAGACACGCTGCCTCCACCCAGTGGCCAAGCCCGGACGCCTGCGCACGTCCTGGGGTGTCCCGCTGGCAGGGTCCCTGCCCGGGGCACAGTGCCCCGCCGGGGATCACACGAAGGGCCCTCCTCACGCCTTGGAGTGGCCTGTTCAGGGCCCTGGTCCTGTCTGCTGGGCTGTGGCGGGGGGGGGGGGGGGGCGCGAC